ACAACCTAAAAGGTGATTTGGGGGATGATTTGTTATTGTTTTACCCACATTATAGAAAATCCCCCATTGATAGTTGAATTACCTTTAAACAATGGTGATTTCCCATATATTATGTTAGTTCACCAGAGGGTACTTTCCAATATCATCCTATATCCACTATTCCTTCATAAATAAGAATGTCGGTTTGCAAACTCCCATGGTTGATCATCATTTCTTCCCAGTGCGTTATTCCCCTGAAAAAATGATCAGTGAACAAGATAGTTACTCTAGGCAAAACAATTCATTTTCGGAAGTAAAGCACTTTGACCCCCCATGCCCACTTTTTGTCCAAACATGGTACCCAAACCGAACCAGCCCCAAACATCAATTAGGCACCCTAAACAACTAGGTACGAAATATTCCTCTTGGGTTCCTAAACATTTAAATATCTCATTAGTTAGATTCCCTAAGCATCCAATGCTTAGCCGGCGCAGGCGCCAACTGTGGAGCCAATACCTGAGAAGGTGGCGACACCGGTACCGGACAAGGAGCCTGTGCTGTTGCCTCCCGCACCTGTTGGGGGTCTCAGGGATTGCGAGAAAAACGCATTTTTTTTATTGGTTTTTGCTACCTGAAAAGCCTTGAACATGGGGATATTCTCAAGATATAGGCATTTGAATGGGACAAATTCTTGCTCACACGTCACATGTCTGTTCGAGACCTGCCTATTCAACTCGCTGGACGAGGGTGGTGCTAAAAAAAACTAAATAAAGTGTTTAAAACGAAACAATAACTATGACACTCAAGCACGTTGAGGAACAGCTCTTGGAGGGAGAGCCCCTTCCAAGACTCAAAAGGGATTTGTTGTTTTTTATATATTGTTATTATTTGTTTAGCTAGTGGTGAGAGCTCCAAAAAGAACCCAAATATCAATCAGAATAAAACTGCTTTTTCTTATTCCGCACATGTTGTAGTATTGTACGTTTTTGTTTGGATTCTTTCAGCTTCCTGTAGGATTCCCATAGGCTTCCTTTAGCACTTTCCAGTTCCAAATTATTTGAAGCGACACCTCCTGAAGAGGCATGCCACACGATCCTATGAAAAATGATGATGAGCCACTGGGATTTGGGGGTATACACAATTTTGAGACAGAATATGAGTTCAACTTGGTGGTGCAATAAAATGAATGTGGAGCACTAAAGCATGACTAACATCTGTATTCTCCCGGGTATGATTTTCATGACCCTTGTACTGTATATGGCTAGTTTTTAGGGTTTTAAGAAGGTCGAAGTAGGTGGTTGAACTGTTCTCTCTTTATCGGCTAGTAGCGAAGCCACTAAACCAGTTTCAAGGCAAAGGTACATGGGTGAGAAAACATCCAAAACTATTCAGCAAAACTGTTGCCAATTCTTGGTGACGGAATTGTTGTTCACGGATTACATGAAGATTGTTCTCTGAACATGAAATGTATGGAATTGACGCTTGGTTGATGTCTGTTTGTTGAGGGGTTATGTGCTTTTCCGCTCGTTTGTAACTTGAAAAAGGTACCACTGCAAATGGATCCGAGCTTGTTGGTGCTCAGTATATCCCATCCAGAAATCAAGCTCACCACAGGTCACTGGCGTCGCCGTTTGGAAAAATGGGTCGATCATACTACTATCATATTTGTATCCCAGCCAAACAATAATTTTCATGTTGCAACATCTCGCTACATCCCAGATATCCCGCAATATTCAGATAAAGTTAGATAAATACATCAATGTCCCATCAATCCTAAAGATGGCCCACACATGCCCTAACATAAATAAATAAATAAATAAATATATATATATATATATTATCGAAGGAAGTTTAGAAGTCAAACTTCCGACAATATGGACAGATGAAAAGCAGAGATGGGAAGAGTCAGAGAGAAGAGAAGAGTAGAAGAGAGAAGATAAGAGAAGAGAAAGAGTCACAAGAAAGAAGATGCAGGTGCGCGAAAAGGTAAGAAAGTCACGAAACACTGTGTTTTTCCCATGATTTGTGGCTCCGGTGGATCGAAAAGTAGGCCCGCTAAAGCGACGGGTGCGGAGCCATCTGGCCAGATGAGAGATGAAAAAGTGAACGCCGTTGTGGCGCGAAGCACATTTGCAAGTGAAAAAGCTAAAAACACCTCACGTTCGGAGCACTTTTGCAAGTTGAGATGTCGAAAAAGTGCACGCCGTTGTGGCGCGAAGCACATGTGTAAGTGAAAAAGCTAAAAACACCTCACGTTCGGACCACTTTTGCAAGTTGAGATGTCGAAAAAGTGCACGCCGTTGTGGCGCGAAGCACATGTGTAAGTGAAAAAGCTAAAAACACCTCACGTTCGGACCACTTTTGCAAGTTGAGATGTCGAAAAAGTGCACGCCGTTGTGGCGCGAAGCACATGTGTAAGTGAAAAAGCTAAAAACACCTCACGTTCGGAAGTTGAGATGTCGAAAAAGTGCACGCCGTTGTGGCGCGAAGGACATTTCGATGTCAAAATGTACAAAGCACACCATGTAGGGACCACTTTTGGACGTTCAGATTTCGTTTGGCGTGGCAGGCGCAAGGGATTGTGCACCTTGTCAAAAGTGAGCAAAACGTGAGGGTTTTGTAGCATTTCCAAAAACGATGGCAGGCGTGGGACATTTGAAGAGGATCTGCAAAGATGCATTTTCCGTGGTAGGCGCAGTACAAGAGACATCTTCATCGGAGCTGTTAGGAGGTCCGGGTGGTGATTTCCTGAGAGGGGTTGCATTTTGGAGCATCAAATCTTCAGGTTTGCTGAGATGATTTTGCGTGACAGTTGCAGCACTTCGTATGACCTGGCATCACTTTCTAGTGGCAGACGCAGTACTTTCGACAGGTGGGCTGGAAAAATCGCAAAACGCATTGGTACGAGGCTGTTAGCTCTGCACTCAACTGTCCATTTTTGAAGGAAGTCTCGCAGAATCGCTTTGTTTTTGATGTTGTCAAGCCGGAAAATTGAAGAAGTCTCGCAGAATTGCTTCGTTTGTGATGTTGTCAACTTTGAAAAATGAGGAAGTCTCGCAGCATTGCTTCTTTTTTGATGTTGTCAACTTCGAAAAATGAGGAAGTCTCCCAGAAGAGCTTCGTTTTCAAGCTTGCAGATAGACAGGTAGATAGATAGATAGACAGACAGACAGACAGAGATAGATAGATAGATAGCTAGATAGCTAGATAGCTAGATAGCTAGATAGCTAGATACACAGTTAGAAAGACAGATCAGACAGGTATAGATAGATAGATGGAGTAGATAGCTGTATAGACAGGCAGATAGATCGATAGATCGATAGATCGATCGATCGATAGATAGATAGATAGATAAATAGACATGTAGATAGATCGATAGATAGATAGATGGATAGAAAGAGAGATAGATAGCTAGCTACATAGATAGATACATAGATAGATAGCAACTGTCTCGCAGACTAGCTAGGTTTTCATGCTTGCAGATAGACAGGTACATAGATAGACAGGCAGACAGACAGACCGATAGATAGATAGATAGACAGATAGATAGATAGATTGATAGATAGATAGATAGATAGATATAGATATATATAGATAGATAGATAGGTAGGTAGGTAGATAGCTAGATAGCTAGATACACAGTTAGATAGACAGATGAGATAGATATATAGCTAGATAGATAGATGGATAGATAGATAGATGGATAGATAGATAGGTAGATAGAGAGATTGCTAGACAGACAGACAGACAGACGGACAGACAGACAGACAGACAGATAGATAGATAGATAGATAGAGAAATAGACATGTAGGTAGATCGATGGATAGATAGAAGGATAGATAGAGAAATAGATAGCTAGATAGATAGATACATAGATATATA